CAAAGTATGAATTTAGTGTAATTACATGGCCTGCCACCCAAAACAAAGGTAAGCTCATTATTTGTTCGCATGGTGCGGAACATCGCAAGTGCTTATCAGCGTGCGAAAATAGGTTGTACAAAACAATTCCCATTTGCTCATCGATCATCATATCATTTGTAGTTTTATACATAGTCAGAACCAACTTGTAAGATTCACTTTCATTTTCCCCAACGAGAGACTGTTGCTTTTCGTTTGTGACAATGGGAAAAATATATTTCTTTTTTCGTAAATTTTCATATTCAATTTAATTTAAAGACATGTACTACATACATATCTTTTTCTCTGCACAATTCATTTCGTTTGTTGTTTCGTCTGTAACTACTAAACTACTGTAGTGTACTATCGCAAAGTAAACTCAGCCGTTTTGTTTTCGTATTGCAACGAACTCTTGAAGGAATAAACCAAATGAAATAGTAATGTGCATTATAGTTTATTTTCATACACCGGTGTTTATATATGTGCTTGGGAGTATCACAACTTAATGCTTTATTTGAAAATTACTAAGTTGGAGGGCCCTTCAAAATTTAATAACTCATGATTTTATTAAAAAAGAAAAGCACATTTAATACGCTTTGCTTTGTCCCGAACAAATCTAAGTAGTTCGCCGGTATTGAGTTGCGTAGTAGATTTTCAGTTTACCGATCGTAGGGGAGTCCGAACCCTGGCTGCGCTGTCAACCAAGAGCGTAAATTGAAATTTACGTTCTTGTATTAGAGATGTGCTGAGTCCACACATATGAGTACTCATACCAACTCGGTACCTATTTAAAAGTATCCAATACTTTCGACACTCGGTGTCGGACTATTAAACAACTATATATATATATATATTATTATTATTATTATTTTTATTTTTTTTTTTTAAGGGGCTATGTACGGAATTCTTTGTGAGTACGGAGTCCACAGCGCCTTCAGGGGGTACAGAACAAAAATTAAATAACTGAAGGTCATTCGTTGTCGAAATTTCAGAGAACGCTTCATTTTTATGTGAACCTTTATTATTCTTCTGCAAAAAAAACAAAATGGATCCGAAATTGTGCAACAGGTGATTTAAGTGTACTTATATTACTACTAAGGTATATTGTATTGAATCGGTATCGGTTACCAATACCGAAACTTTGGGTACCGAGTATTGGGGCAACTCTGCACATCACTATTTTTTAAAAATGACACTTTCATTGATGGCAATTGCAGCACATATCACAATTTCCTGAATGGCACGAATGATTACGATGCGGTAAGTTGCGTATTTTTCTCATAGTATTTTAATGTGATATTTTTTACCTTCTACTTTTAGCTTTCTTTGGAGATATTCCACGCCAAACCCTCATTCATCCAAGTACGGCATATTTACAACTCGCAATCGAGTTCGCCTGAAGGATGAATGAGGAATTATAGTATGCTGAATGGAAGTGCGTGGCTCTTGGGAACTTCGGGTATGCAGGTGATACTCGCAGCACAAATTCCTCTCGGAAAAAGCCAACCATTGAAGTATCGTGAAATATGAATTAATATAATATGAATCTTTTATGTAACCTATTATCTTACTAATATCATTTCGTTTCCATTTCAGATGATGCTGGATTTAGCTAAAAAGTGTTTGCAAAATAGTGCACAACAAATCATGCATTTGGCCAAAAACTTTTGTATCGATTGTGCGAATTTGAAGTCTTGCAGGATCTGTATCGCACATATTATACATACATGCGCGTGTTTATTCATCATTACTCCATGGTTATGAGTTGTATTTAAAACAGTTTACATCGAATCAAAGGGATTTAATTTCTGCAACCACGAGGGTTATGACCA